TTTTAATTGCTAGGAAAAGTTAATACTTGAACATTAACAGAATTTAAATAAATATAATTCATCATTAATTAATCTTTCCTTCTTCACTTTTTTGTTTTTTCCTTTGCATAATTGTTCACCAGATTAGAAGTAATACGAAAAGATAAAAATTATTTTCAATTTTTACTTACAGTGGCAAATTTCACTGTTGCGAAAGATTTAATTAGATGAATAGATATTATTATTATTATTATTATTATTATTATTATTATTATTATTATTATTATTATTACTGTTATTATTGTTATTGTTATTATTATTATTATTACCACATTGTTATATGTCATCATCTTTTTAACAGCTTTGTCATCAATTGTTAACATTTGCAAATTTCCTCACTCAAAATTTTTTGTGAAAGAAACTTTAGTTAAAATTTCTTCGTTTTTTAATTTTCATTATCCGTCTTATTCGAACATTAGTAATCAAAAATTATTACGATAATATAATTAATTGAATAATTAAATTGTCAGTAATTCAAATTAAGACTAACAATATATGTCATTACAGGTAAACAAAGCACTTTGTGGACAACAATTGTGAATTATGCACGAACACTTTTATTGTTCATTTATTTTTGCATATTTACCATTGCATTTATCATCCAACTTATTTGAAAAGATAAGTGAAGTGATAAAATTAGTACGATAGAGGAAAGTAAAATATGTCTTAAGTTTATCATCGTTTGGGATATTTCATTTTATCGATAATTACAATTTTAATTTATTCCTTTTCTTTTCTCTTCCTCTTTACTCTCATTCTCCTCTTTTTCTTACCTCTTTTTTTTGGAAAAGAGAAAGAGAGAGTGGGAGAGAGAGAAAAAAAAAGGAAAAAACACAAACAATAATCATTTTTCAGTGTATGAAAATTTTTTATGAATATTTTGATTTGTTCTTTGACCTTGACAAATAAATAAAAATTCACAAAAATTTGTCTTCAATAATGCATATTCAATTATTTAAAATTCAATAAAAAATTACATTAAAATGTTCTAACATAGCGAATTTCTTCATTGCATAATTAAATTATCTAATTTTCTTATCATGCAAAATTTTGGTCATTTTATGATTTTGACAAAAAAAGAAAAAGGTACAAAAAAGAGGAGGAAATTAGATAATTTATGGATAATTGGTGATGAATAATCATGGTGTTGGAGTAAATTCAAATTTTTCATTATTTTTAAGGTTTCCCAACAATAATTATTGAAAAAAAAAATTCATCAGTAAAGCTGTACGTCTTTGTCGTTATCATCATCATCATCATCATCATCATCATCACCATCAATCATCATCATCATCATCATCATCATCATCATCATCATCATCATCATCATCATCATCATCATCATCATCATCATCACCACCACCACCATCATCACCATCACCATCACCATCACCATCACCATCACCATCACCATCACCATCATCATCATTACCATTATCATCATTGTCATCAATATCCATTTGTCTAATTTTGCTCTTCTATTGTTTAAATTCTTTTTTCATCGCAAAAGTGATAAATATCCTTATTTCAGCAAATATACTTTTTTTTCTCCTCTGGCCTTTTTTCCCCTTTTTCCCGTCTTTCATTCTCTCATTTTCCTTCCCTCTCTGTGTTATCATTTCTTACTAATCCTTAAGAATATAATGATAAAGATTACCTGATAACCAATGTTATCAGTTTTATCTAAAATAATAAAAAAAAAATCAATAAATTAAAACTATTTATTAATTTTGTCAGAAAACTTTACCAAAAAAGGTTACCTGATTCAGTGTAAATAAACTACTGGTTTATGTGTGTTGTCAAATATGTCATAATTTTTATGATTTGTTAGAAAGAAAGATAGGTCAAATGAAATTTCCGGCAGCGAAAATTTTAGGTGCAAAATTGATATGTCATAGCACAATACGAATGAATTAAAAAAAAATCATTGCCTATGTACTTTGATCAATTGATTCAAAAAAAAAAACTTTTTTTTCTTCCTTCCGTTCATTTATTTTTCGTTGATTCTTTTCATTCGTTCAAATTTAAACTGTGACAGTTATCATAACAAATTCAACAAGTTTTACCAAGTTGGAAAATTGAAAAACAAAAAAAAATGCGCAAGAAAGATTAAACTTAATCAGAAAACTTTTTATTAAAAAAACAAAAACATTTAATATGAGATAATGCCTAATTCTCTTTTTGTTTTTTATTCTGTTTCCCCCATTTCTGCTTCCCTCTCTCTTCTCCTTCTCTCTCTCCCTCTCTTCCTAAAAGTATCATTTTACATTTAATTTTTTTGGAAATTTTCCATAATAAAAACCAATTTTTCATTTTATTTTTTATCAAAAAATAAAAAATAATGCAAAAACAAATTCGGTTGACAAAATTTTTTTTCATTATTCCATTGACTCATTCATCGAATTTTTCAAGAAATAACAGGATAATATTAATTAATTTTGCAAAATATTGCCAATTATCTACTGATTAATTTTGCTGGATACTCTGTAAAATATTTGCTGTAACTATCGAATTAAATGCTATTTCTAAAATAAAATTGATCCAGACCATAAATAGCTAATTAACATAATTAAGTCAGTGTTTATTGGGAATTGATATGTTATAAATGTTTATGACTCCAAACAACACTTTTATTTTAATATTTTTTTCTTTGGAATTAAAATTATACATAGCTTTGGTTAAAATGTTAGATGAATGAGAAAAGAATTAAGTGTTTAAAATAATTAACACTCACTTAATTAACACGCAAATACTGCTAGGAAAATATGTAATATGAAAAATATAGTCAAAAAATTTCACACTTTTAAGTCACAATGACTTAATACGGTACCGTAATTCGAATTTAATTATATAAAAATACGTCTTAAACATTTCATTAATCTTCTATCATTTTTATTTCCACAACACGAGGAAACATGATTTCTGCATAGTATATTAATCATTTACGAATTACTAACAAAATTTTGACAATGGCAATATGACGATTTAGCAAATTAACAATTAAACCAAAATTTTTGACAATCAATTATTTCATAATCAAAAATAATTAATTGCATTTGACTCTTCCTTTTTTTCTATGAATTTATACTTTGCTGTTGCTGTTGTTTAATGTTTGTACAAACATTTCAAAAGTCTTTTTTAAAAAAGAATAATTTCTTAAATTTACATCCAAACTTCCATGAAATTGAAGGAAAATAAAAGAAAAACTTTGCATAAAAGGAAATTTTTTTATTTTGGATAAATTCATCATTTTTCTTTCACTATTTTCATATTTTTACGAGAAAAATCGATAATCTTTTGTTTATATTTATTTTAACTTTTTTTTTCCTCTTATTAATATGCATAAATAGGCGATTATAAGAAAACATTTTGATACTTTCATAAACATAAATTGAGCAAGTACTTTTTATTATTTTAGAAAAATAAAAAAGGAACATTGGAAAGAAAAAGAGAAAAAAAATTTAAAAAAAAAAAAGAAAAAGGCAAAAAATATCATCATGCTGAATAAGCGATACGAAGGAAATGAAAAAAAAAATTTACATACCATTCTTAATTTAATGTAATCGAACCGATGACCTTCGTCTTTTTTTTTACCGTCAGAAGAAGAAAACTTTTGTTGACCTTTTTATTTTTTCACTCAAATATTGACACAATATTGATATATCGAACTTTTGGTAAATATATGCAAAAAAAATCAACTAAGTTAATTCATTAAATTACAGCAATAATAATTAAGTTATCAATATTTTTAATTAAGCGAATAAACAAAAAAAAAGGAGGAATGAAAAACATTTTACTCATTAAAGGCTAATTAAATTAGTGATCAAAATAAGATGTTTCCATGCAAGTCATAATGTTATATTAATTGCACAGAGTTCGTTCAATTAATTTATGGTAAATTAGTTTTACTTATTAATTCTTAACAGTATTATAATTACATTTCATTATAACAATTTTGTGCATTTTTTTCTTTGTTTGTTATATTTTACAATTAATGTAAATTTAGAAATTTGAAAGTTTTCTTAAAGAATAAAAACACATTTACAGAAATATTTAGCAATTTTACGCATTTCAAAAAATTGCTTTAATACAAATTTCTTCTTTCCTTTACTTTTTCCACTCCAACAAAAAAAATTTTTTCTTTACTAATTGATTTAGAAATCAAAAGTCATTATGAAATCAATTATAAATGAAATGAAATTTTTGCACGTAATTTTGATTTTATCAATTCTCCACTTTTTCAAATTGTATGAGAAATACTTCCTGGTTTCATTCTTTCACCAAATTTTGCTGCAAAACATGTGGTACTTCCGTTCATCTTTTTATTTCAATTATCTCAATTTTGTCAGAAGAAGTGGAAAAAGTTCACATATGCGTCTTTTTCCCTTGTCAAATTGTCGTTTGTTTTTTTAATCGAAATTTATTTTTCCAAATAATTTATTTCTATTTATTTAACTTGCAGATTTATTTTTCATCTTTTGGTGTAATTGCAAAATTGCGCATTTTCATTCCTTTTAATATACCACATGCTCGTTCAATTCATTTGTTAAATTTGTCAAATTTCAAAAATTTTCTCATGTTGCTTATTTGCTTACTTTTTTTAGGATATAATTTGAATAATATATTATTAGGTGATTGATTACGTCGTCATTTGATAATTCAGTTTTGGTTGGCATTACGAATTAAGACTATTTTCAATTTCCTTTTTTTTCTGAAATCAACTAAAGGGCAGTTAACGATTAATTTCTACCGTAATAATTGTTTTTAAATGTTAACACAGATATGTTAGATGACAAATTTACATTTAATATTTAATTTTAATCATAAAAAATTTTTAAATATGGTCAAGTTTTTTTCCATAAATCCTTAAGATTTCCCTTGTAAATTCTACTTTAAATAATAATTTCATCGTTCTTCGGAATATTTGTAATGATTCAATGTGATTACTAATTTTTCAAATAATCATATAAAACTTTCAACGTAACTAATGATTAGTTCAATTTGAACTGTCAGATTTGTTTTACATGTATCAAATGTCAAATTAAATTCAAAGTACATTAATTCAACAATTTCGAATTAACCACTTTCAGACATTCAAATTCCTTTATTAAAGCCTTTTCAAAGTTAACGATTAAAATATAAATTTATATTGAATTAAAAAGTTCTGCAAGTAAAATAACAACATAACAACACCTTACCAGTATCATTTTGATCAAAGGAGTGAATCATTTTTTTTGCTAATTACCAAAATCTCTTTGGTTACTGTCTAATTAAGACTGTGAAGAAATCGAAAATTTATTAAAAAAAAGGCTAAATAACATTTTGATGAATTGATACGCAATCATCAGTTTTAATTCAAATAAAAATTTGACAAATGTTTGACAGCAATATCAATAATTTCAGCTATTATGCAAGCAAAACATAATAACTCAAGCAGATAATAAGAAAAGCAAAGGAAAAAGATGCTTGATATACGTTTAATTAATTAAATTCCGTATTTTGAAGTAAGTGAATAAAACGATTAACATTATTGATACTTTCAGATTTGAAATTAATTGGAAGAAGTGATTAATTGTCAAATATCCCATCAAATTACATGAAAACCATCAAATTCATAATTTAATTTCATAATATTTATTAACTTGCTACTGTATTTAATACATTGATGTATAACAATCAACTGTGAACAGTTTAAACAATTTTATCTGATTGATTAGGATATTTTAGCATTTTATTGTTAAATTGATAAAGTTTGTCATTGGATGTAAAGTTTACTCAATCCTGAACTAAAAATTATTATACATAACGAAAAAAAAATGATGTGAAAGAAGATAACGTTTACAGCAAACAACACAAATTACAAAAATTTAATTTTAATTTATTAAATTTTTGTTTCTGACCTGGTAGTAGAACAAAAAGACAAAAGTAAATATAAATTTAATGAAATACCCTAAAAATATGTTAGTTGAAAAATTACTCGTGCCAAATAACTTCTGTAAAGAACGCGTAATGAACTTCATCTGACCTTATATCATTTTCCATTTTGGTAAATGATATTGAATTATTTAAATTTAAGGGATACTTTAAAAAATAAACTTTTTTCAAATTTTAGAGGATTTTCCGAATTAATCAATAACAATGAAAATGATGTACAGAAATAATACCTGAAATGTAAAAAGGACATGTGATGTAACATTTAAGCGAATGTACTGCTGTTTTAATTGTCTCTGTCAATCTCGTCATCAAATATCAGTTTGATAAAGCAGTTAATGAAATTTAAAAGAATTTCATATTCAAATGAACAAAAAATATTTTTGTAGTCAAAAGATAAATGACTTTGTATTGTTATCCTACAATAAAAAGAACGATTATCAATTGGAATTTAGAAATTATAATTTTAGGTTTACTCGAGAATTTCTGCACTTGCAGAAGGAAAAAAATAATAATAATAACAATGATAATAAGAATAATACTGATAATAATAATAATAGCAATAATAATAATAATAATAATAATAATAATAATAATAATAATAATAATAATAATAATAATAATAATAATAATAATAATAATAATAATAATAATAATAATAATAATAATAATAATAATAATAATAATAATAATAATAATAATAATAATAATAATAACAAATAAATAAATAATAAATGTCATTGAAGAATGGAAATGACAAATTCAATGTTTCAGCTTAAAATCCGTCGAACCAAGTGCAGCGATTGAATGGAAGCATTATATATTTATTCTTATTACAATTATGCTTATTATTATTATTTTTTTATCTTCAAAACTAAGCCAATGTTACATGTCCGGTTGTATCTAATTTGCATATAAGACATGTATACTTACCTGTACGTTGAAAGCATGAAAAAGGGAAAATTTATGCATAAAATTGTACATTTATTGATTAAAGCCAAATAATTTATTTTATAAATTATAAATTAATTTAAAAAGGAAAAAAAAAACAAGATGACATGACATATACATCATTTATAATTTCAATGGTAGACAAAATTGTCCGTTACAATATGTGTTAGTTTATTAATTTGAATAATCCTCGAGGAATTTTTGGACATATATTGCCACATTTCAAAAGTATACATAAACGAATCACATGTAATGTATCCAATGCTTCTTGTTCATCTTTTTTACCAGGTATATATCCAAGATCACTTGTTGCTGCCTAAATTATTTTGTCATAATTAAATTAATTCATTTGTTTGGGAGTAATTTTTTTTTTTATAAATCATTGACAAATCATTAAGACTTTATTTTTTTTTTAGTCAAAGAGATAAAATTTATATTTATAAAAATATATGAAAGTTTTTTTTTGATAACTATATATCACTGCTATCATTTATCATTAACTTATGCCAAAATTATTAACTGATAATATTTTATAAATGATAAAAACTAACATTTGCTATATTATACCAACATGATATTTTGCAACATTGACATGCAGTTTTCCCTTGATCTTCTCCAGAACATGCATTTGTTGTTGTATCAAATTTTAATTCTACAAATACAATTCATTTTTGGTAATTTTTAAAATTAAAATACATTTTTCTGCATTATTATTGCAATTAATTTGCATTTTTAGTTTTGATGCAAATCTATTTATTTGTTCCATAATTTCCAAAAGATAAAATATAGCTTTGAAATTTTCATTTGAATAAAATTAGCATTAATTCCAGTCTTTTAATTGTCACCAAATAAGTCATTTTCGATTATCCATTATGATATTAAAATAAAATATTCTTACCTGTTAATGCTAATGAGTTGATGATATTCTTACCTGTTAATGCTAATGAATTGGTGATTGCCAATAATATCAATAAGAAATATGTTTGCATTATTTTACTTCACTACCAAAACACTAATAAATTGAAAATTTTGAATTTTTCACAATAACCTTATTTTTGAATAAAAATTGAAATTAATCGTTACAAAACGATGATAACAAATTGTTATAATAAAATACTACTTCTGGTATAAATATACCAAGCAATTATATTAGGTAATCGAATGATAATTAGGAGTAAAATTGAAGTTCAAATCATAATTGTAACAAAATTTCTAATTACAATTAACGCTGAAAATCAAATTTAACAAGTTATTAATAAGTAAATTATCGGGAAAAAAAAAGTGTCATCTTAATTAAGAATTGGTTGACAAAGGTGTAAATGTTAGGAAATGAAGTAATAAACTGAAGTAAAAATAAAACAAGCAATAAAAATTCCTAACATCAATGAATTATTTTTATTAGCTGCTTTTTTGTTGCGATGGATTAGTTATTAAGAGAGAATTGATTAATTAAGAGAGGATTGGTTCATTTTAGAGTTCGAAAAAGTTTTTAAGCTATTTCATAATTATTAATAGGTTTATTGATAAAAAGATTTATATTTATTAAATTGAAATGGGACAAATAATTCGATGATATGATATATGAATGAATTTTTTAATTTTATTTATTCATACTTTCAAATAACTTTTATATTCATATTTCTAGGAATATATTTAGAAAGTATGTGTGAAATTGAAAGAGCAAAATTATCGATCAATTTTTTAATTTTTAAATCCAAATCTTAATTTTAGGTAGAAAAATAGTTTTCAAAGTAAAATTTAACCATAAAACTGGTTAAAAGGAAATTTAGAATTGATGATGATAATAAAAGTAGCAATGTGATAGCTTGTTTAATTGATTATTATTTTAGCGTTCACAAAAATATCGTATAAAGCGATAAATTTCAAGTTATATCCATTCTCTGATGATAATCTTAAAAATATATCATTTGATATGAAATTATCATAATCTTAAAAAGATATCATTTGATATGAAATTATCATAATCTTAAAAAGATATCATTTGATAATGAAATTATCATAATCTTAAAAAGATATCATTTGATAATGAAATTATCATAATCTTAAAAAAGATATCATTTGATAATAGAAATTATC